TGATGGCTGTCATCTGGTACCGTATAGCAGCGATGGTTGCCATCTGGTACCGTATAGCAGTGATGGCTGTCATCTGGTACCGTATAGCAGTGATGGCTGTCATCTGGTACCGTATAGCAGTGATGGCTGTCATCTGGTACCGTATAGCAGCGATGGCTGTCATCTGGTACCGTATAGCAGCGATGGCTGTCATCTGGTACCGTATAGCAGCGATGGTTGTCATCTGGTACCGTATAGCAGCGGTGACTGCCATCGGGCAACGTACCTGGTTGATGGGGTTCTGGGAGTTCTTCTACTCCCCAAGCCCGGCCCGAGGCCAGGCTTGACTTGTGAGAGTTTGGTCCACCAGGCTGTTGCTTGGAGCGGCCCGCAGGCCCACATACCCACCACAGCCCGGTTGGTCCGGCACTCCTTGGGGGAAACTAGATAATGTCGACGGTTGTTCCGGCAATATTTCTTATGCTCGCTGGGAGGACGTTGAACAACCGCGGACCTCTGATGTTTATACAGTGTTCTCTGATTGTGCCTATGGCACCTCTGCTCTTCACTGGTTCTATTCTGCATTTTCTTCCATATCGTTCACTCCAGTACGTTGTTATTTTACTGTGTAGATTTGGGACATGGCCCTCCAGTATTTTCCATGTGTATATTATTTGGTATCTCTCTCGACTCCTTTCTAGAGTACATTTGGAGAGCTTTGAGACGATCCCAATAATTTTGGTGCTTTATCTCGTCTATGCGTGCCGTATATGTTCTCTGTATTCCCTCTATTTCAGCAATCTCTCCTGCTCTGAAGGGGGAAGTGAGCACTGAGCAGTACTGAGCAGTACTCAAGACGGGACAACACAGCTCAAGTACTCAATTAGTCAAGACGTATATCAGTGGTGGCTGCCATCTGGCAACGTATGGCAGCGGTGGCTTGCATGAAGTAATGTCGACAGTAGATTACTGACGCCCATTAAGACTGAATCACAATTACACAGTGTTGTAAAGTCAGCCTTATGACTCTGCGCGTTGCTGTGTTCACCCCTCCAAGTGACAAGGGCCGGTGAAATTAGTCGTGAAATGGCATTCAAATAGGGTTCAGGGAGTCAAGTCCTAAATAACTCACAGGACCCGGGCAGCACAATGAGGTGAGTGAGGTCCAGTGTAACCCACAGGACCCTGGTAGCACACTGAGACCAGTGAGGGAGGTCCTGTGTAACTCCAGGACCCTGGCAGCACACTGAGGTGAGTGAGGTCCTGTGTAACTCCAGGACCCGGGCAGCACACTGAGACCAGTGAGGGAAGTCCTGTGTAACTCACAGGACCCTGGTAGCACACTGAGACCAGTGAGGGAGGTCCTGTGTAACTCCAGGACCCTGGCAGCACACTGAGGTGAGTGAGGTCCTGTGTAACTCCAGGACCCGGGCAGCACACTGAGGTGAGTGAGGTCCTGTGTAACTCCAGGACCCGGGCAGCACACTGAGGTGAGTGAGGTCCTGTGTAACTCACAGGACCCGGGTAGCACACTGAGACCAGTGAGGGAGGTCCTGTGTAACTCACAGGACCCGGGCAGCACACTGAGGTGAGTGAGGTCCTGTGTAACTCACAGGACCCGGGCAGCACACTGAGACCAGTGAGGGAGGTCCTGTGTAACTCACAGGACCCGGGCAGCACACTGAGACCAGTGAGGGAGGTCCTGTGTAACTCCAGGACCCGGGCAGCACACTGAGACCAGTGAGGGAGGTCCTGTGTAACTCACAGGACCCGGGCAGCACACTGAGACCAGTGAGGGAGGTCCAGTGTAACTCACAGGACCTGGGCAGCACACTGAGACCAGTGAGGGAGGTCCTGTGTAACTCCAGGACCCGGGCAGCACACTGAGACCAGTGAGGGAGGTCCTGTGTAACTCCAGGACCCGGGCAGCACACTGAGACCAGTGAGGGAGGTCCTGAGTAACTCACAGGACCCGGGCAGCACACTGAGACCAGTGAGGGAGGTCCTGAGTAACTCACAGGACCCGGGCAGCACACTGAGACCAGTGAGGGCCAGTGTAACTCACAGGACCCGGGCAGCACACTGAGACCAGTGAGGGAGGTCCAGTGTAACTCACAGGACCCGGGCAGCACACTGAGACCAGTGAGGGCCAGAGCAACTCCCACTTATACCCAAGGGTCGCAGAACTAGAAGCAGCAACAAGGCGAATAACGACATTTTTTTGACGTAAATCAACACAAGATCCGACAGGAGTTTAAGGAGACAGGTGTCAGGAAGCCCTGGACCAAGCAGCCCCAACAAGAGGCACTAGAACACGGCGCGAGGGGCACCGTCACCACTCTCCACGGGGGGAAGACCTACACACAAATGATAGGAAGGACGATCTGATGGGCCGTCAGGCAGGGTAGCCATCGCGGGATGTATCTGTTCACGCAACATTTGAAGCAGTCAGGCAGGAGTACAGGCCAGCGATGGATCTTCTTGAGGTTATCTTGAGATGATTTCGGGGCTTTTTAGTGTCCCCGCGGCCCGGTCCTCGACCAGGCCTCCACCCCCCCCCAAGAAGCACCCCGTGACAGCTGACTAACATCCAGGTACCTATTTTACTGCTAGGTAACAGGGGCATAGGGTGAAAGAAACTCTGCCCAATGTTTCTCGCCGGCGCCTGGGATAGGACCACAGGATCACAAGTCCAGCGTGCTGTCCGCTCGGCCGACCGGCTCCTGGATGTGTACCTGCGCTGCATAGATGATATTTGTGGAGTAATGATGGGAGACGGACATGATCACACAGCTGTCTTTACTTGTGTAAAGGAGGAAATGTATATGTTTATCTCTCTGAATGTTCGGTAATACGTTTATTGCTTGTGATGTGTGTATATGTATGTATTAACACGATGTACTGAACGGGGTGAGAATAGCTTGAGCTACCTCATCCCTTTGTGTGTATTTTACCTCAATAAACTGATTTCAATTTCAATTTCAATTTCAAGAGCTGTCTTCGCCTGGAGAAATGATGCTCATCCTTACCTCTGTTTCACCCTAGAAACAGCAGTGAACGTCTTGGACACACACATGTTTACCTCACCGAGCACAGGAACATGTAAACAACAATCTTTTATAAACCAGCAAACTAACAATCATATCTCCAATAGTCGTCAAGCCCTCCACTATCATTAAAAAGATCCCCTACCCTTCTCCTTGGGAATCCATCCAACTGAAACGAATAGTCAGAGATGAGGGAGAGACTAAGGCGGGGTCCTTAAGAAAATGAAAATAGGTGCAGAGAGTCATAATTCGGCTCAAAAATCACGCTCAGGAGTCAAATTTCCGACATTTCAAAGCGTCTCTTGGATTTTTTTTCAGACAGAGAATACCCCGATAAAAATCCAACACTATATACAGATATAGAGTTAGCACACACAGCCAGATCTTCAATACGTCAACACAGGAGGACAACAGCCAACCAATGCGAGGCTAATTCTCCCGTCCCTCTGTTTCCCCAGGAATCGCGGAGCAGCTCCGGAGAGAACTCATTAACATCTGGGGATGTCTAACGAGTACACACAGAAATCACACAGCGTGGACAACATTCCCACAGGAAATACCCCATGTTAGCGTGGACGCGAGCTAAATCCTTAAATGATATCTTGGTAGAAGCAAAATTTTCCCAAGCAATCCCACACACCGTAGGGCCAAGATGGCTGACCAATGTAACAGTTCTTATTGGTGCACCTTGTGTTCCACAAGGACTTAATAACTCTCCAGAGGGTGATAGGACTTTATAACTCTCCAGAGGTTAATAGGACTTTATAACTCTCCAGAGGTTAATAGGACTTTATAACTCTCCAGAGGTTAATAGGACTTTATAACTCTCCAGAGGTTAATAGGACTTAATTACCCTCCAGATAATGATAGGACTTAATAAATCTCCAGATGTTCATAGGACTTAATAACCCCCTAGAGAATGATAAAGACTTAATAACTCTCAAGAGAATGATAGGCTTCATATAATAACCATCCAGAGGTTGATAGGCCTTATCATCCCCTGGATATATATATATATATATATATATATATATATATATATATATATATATATATATATATATATGTCGTACCTAGTAGCCAGAACTCACTTCTGAGCCTACTATGCAAGGCCTGATTTGCCTAATAAGCCTAGTTTTCATGAATTAATGTTTTTTCGACAACCTAACCTACCTAACCTAACCTAACCTAACGTTTTCGGCTACCTAACCTAACCTAACCTATAAAGATAGGTTAGGTTAGGTTAGGTAGGGTTGGTTAGGTTCGGTCATATATCTACGTTAATTTTAGCTCTAATAAAAATAAATTTACCTCATACATAATGAAATGGATAGCTTTATCATTTCATAAGAAAAAAAATTGAGAAAATATATTTTTTCAGGAAAACTTGGCTTATTAGGCAAATCGGGCCTTGCATAGTAGGCTGAGAAGTGAGTTCTGGCTACTAGGTACGACATATATATATATATATATATATATATATATATATATATATATATATATATATATATATATGTCGTACCTAATATATAGCCTATATTATAATAAGCCAAGTTTTATGAATTATATATTTATATATATATGATACCCTTTTCTCTATGTATGAGGTCAATATGGAGTATTAACGTAGATATATGACCGAACCTAACCAACCCTACCTAACCTACCTAACCTATATTTATAGGTAAGGTTAGGTTAGGTAGCCAAAAAAAGCTAGGTTAGGTTAGGTTAGGTAGGTTAGGTAGACGAAAAAACATTAATTCATGAAAATATAGGCAAATCGGGCCTTGAATAGTAGGCTAGTGCGTTCTGGCTATTAGGTACGACATATATATATATATATATATATATATATATATATATATATATATATAATATATATATATATATATATATATATATATATATATATATATATATATATATATATATATATAGGTAGACTGGTAGATATCCGGGTTGAGGTAGACATACCTGGACGGTAGATGAGAGACGCGCTCGCGGGGAGGCGGCCATGTCAGAGGCGCGAACAACCAGGTTGTAGAAGCTCTGGTCCTCGCGGTCGAGCGGGGCCGAGGTGTAGACGGTGCCGTTCTCACTGATGCTGAACTGTCCCTTGTCGTCGCCGCCAGCGATGGTGTACTCCAGCCGCCCGTTCATCCCTGTTGACCACACCAACACGGTCAACTTACACATACACACACACACATGACGCGTATATGTGGATATATGTGGAACCCAGCAAGGTTCTTGACCTTGCTGGGATTAGAACCTTCGCCCGCGTGATGCAACGCCGAGTGCTGTACCACTGTACCACCTCTCTACAGTGTAGAGTGCTGTACCACTGTACCACCACTCTACAGTGTAGAGTGCTGTACCACTGTACCACCACTCTACAGTGCAGAGTGCTGTACCACTGTACCACCACCCTACAGTGTAGAGTGCTGTACCACTGTACCACCACTCTACAGTGTAGAGTGCTGTACCACTGTACCACCACCCTACAGTGCAGAGTGCTGTACCACTGTACCACCACCCTACAGTGCAGAGTGCTGTACCACTGTACCACCACCCTACAGTGCAGAGTGCTGTACCACCACCCTACAGAGTGCTGTACCACTGTACCACCACCCTACAGTGTAGAGTGTGCTGTACCACCACCCTACAGTGTAGAGTGCTGTACCACTGTACCACCACCCTACAGTGCAGAGTGCTGTACCACTGTACCACCACCCTACAGTGCAGTGCTGTACCACTGTACCACCATCCTACATTGCAGAGTGCTGTACCACTGTACCACCACTCTACAGTGTAGAGTGCTGTACCACTGTACCACCACTCTACAGTGTAGAGTGCTGTACCTCTGTACCACCACCACGCTACAGTGCAGAGTGCTGTACCACTGTACCACCACCCTACAGTGCAGAGTGCTGTACCACTGTACCACCACCACCCTACAGTGTAGAGTGCTGTACCACTGTACCACCACCCTACAGTGTAGAGTGCTGTACCTCTGTACCACCACTCTACAGTGCAGGGTGCTGTACCACTGTACCACCACCCTACAGTGCAGGGTGCTGTACCACTGTACCACCACCCTACAGTGTAGAGTGATGTACCACTGTACCACCACCCTACAGTGTAGAGTGCTGTACCACTGTACCACCACCCTACAGTGCAGGGTGCTGTACCACTGTACCACCACCCTACAGTGTAGAGTGCTGTACCACTGTACCACCACCCTACAGTGCAGAGTGCTGTACCACTGTACCACCACCCTACAGTGCAGAGTGCTGTACCACTGTACCACCACCACCCTACAGTGTAGAGTGCTGTACCACTGTACCACCACCCTACAGTGTAGAGTGCTGTACCACTGTACCACCACCCTACAGTGTTGAGTGCTGTACCACCACCCTACAGTGTAGAGTGCTGTACCACTGTACCACCACCACCCTACAGTGAAGAGTGATGTACCACTGTACCACCACCCTACAGTGTAGAGTGCTGTACCACTGTACCACCACCCTACAGTGTAGAGTGCTGTACCACCACCCTACAGTGTAGAGTGCTGTACCACTGTACCACCACCCTACAGTGTAGAGTGCTGTACCACTGTACCACCACCCTACAGTGTAGAGTGCTGTACCACTGTACCACCACCCTACAGTGTAGAGTGCTGTACCACTGTACCACCACCCTACAGTGTAGAGTGCTGTACCACTGTACCACCACCCTACAGTGCAGGGTGCTGTACCACTGTACCACCACCCTACAGTGTAGAGTGCTGTACCTCTGTACCACCACCCTACAGTGCAGAGTGCTGTACCACTGTACCACCAGCCTACAGTGCAGAGTGCTGTACCACTGTACCACCACCACCCTACAGTGCAGAGTGCTGTACCTCCGTACCACCACGCTACAGTGCAGAGTGCTGTACCACTGTACCACCACCCTACAGTGTAGAGTGCTGTACCACTGTACCACCACCCTACAGTGTAGAGTGCTGTACCACTGTACCGCCACCCTACAGTGCAGAGTGCTGTACCACTGTACCACCACCCTACAGTGTAGAGTGCTGTACCACTGTACCACCACCCTACAGTGCAGAGTGCTGTACCACTGTACCACCACCCTACAGTGCAGAGTGCTGTACCACTGTACCACCACCCTACAGTGCAGAGTGCTGTACCACTGTACCACCACCCTACAGTGCAGAGTGCTGTACCACCACCCTACAGTATAGAGTGCTGTACGGATGAAGCATCAGCAGGAATTGACTGATTTGATGTTAAAGGTTTCTTATGGGGAAATTCGAGGCATATATTATCGCTAAGTTCTTTAAGGTTTCTTATGGGGAAATTCGAGGCATATATTATCGCTAAGTTCTTTAAGGTTTCTTATGGGGAAGTTCAAAAAATTTCAATTTTTATTCAATTTTATAAAATTATTTCAGAGTTCATATGATCATAGAAATTTATTTAAGAGTTTAAGACCGAAAATATTTCAAAAGACCAATTTCAGGGAATCTTGTCATAGAAGTTTTGTTAAGGAAAATAGACATCTTAGCCTTGACTCTTAGTTTCTATATCCATTTACGGCTGTTTCATCAGTAAAAGACCTAAATTAGTCAGAGACCAGTTGGAGACCGAAATTAGTCAGAGATCACTAAAAGACTTAAATTAGTAGGAGACCAGTTAAAGACTGAATTTCTTCAGAGACCAGTTAAAGACCGAAATTCTTCAGAGATTAGTTTGAAACCGAAATTTGACAGAGACCATTTTAAGATAAAAAATATCGCAGAGCCCATTTAAGACCAAAATAATTTCATAGACCATTTTTAGACCAAAATATTGTCAGAGACCAGTTGAAGACCTTACTTCCCGCTAGTGTCAGTGTCCCAGACTTACTTCCCCACACTGTCAGTGTCCCAGACTTACTTCCCCACACTGTCAGTGTCCCAGACTTACTTCCCCACACTGTCAGTGTCCCAGACTTACTTCCCCACAATGGCAGTGTCCCAGACTTACTTCCCCACACTGTCAGTGTCCCACACTTACTTCCCCACACTGTCAGTGTCCCAAACTTACTTTCCCACACTGTCAGTGTCCCAGACTTACTTCCCCACACTGTCAGTGTCCCAAACTTACTTCCCCACAATGGCAGTGTCCCAGACTTACTTCCCCACACTGTCAGTGTCCCAGACTTACTTCCCCACACTGTCAGTGTCCCAGACTTACTTCCCCACACTGTCAGTGTCCCCAGACTTACTTCCCCACACTGTCAGTGTCCCAGACTTACTTCCCCACACTGTCAGTGTCCCAGACTTACTTCCCCACACTGTCAGTGTCCCAGACTTACTTCCCCACACTGTCAGTGTCCCAGACTTACTTCCCCACACTGTCAGTGTCCCAGACTTACTTCCCCACACTGTCAGTGTCCCAAACTTACTTTCCCACACTGTCAGTGTCCCCAGACTTCCCCACACGGTGGTGTATCGTACACGGTACGATACACCACCGTACCGTGTTCCCATCAGCAGAGTACCGTCAGAGGCACCAGTCAACTCAATTCGGTACTCGGTAATTGGATTCCTTATAACCTTATCCTTATAAATCCTTATAATCCTTGCGTCCTCGGGAAAGCCCAAGGTCTTACCGGAATCTTGGTCGGTGGCGGAGACGGCCAGGACAGAGGAGCCGACGGTGATGTTTTCGAAGACTTCGTCTGAGTAACTCATCGGGTCGAAGATCGGGGCGTTGTCGTTGAGGTCCTGCACGTTGAAGTAGACGGTGACGGTGGAGGAGAGGGCAGGTCGGCCTGTGTCCTGCGCCTGCACCACCAGGATGTAGTGCTGCACCTGTGGGTAGAGAGAGAGAGAGGACACACCTGCTTTAGACACCTGCTTTAGACACCTGCTTCACGGAGGAGAAACCTCAGGGGGTTTACTTTTGAAGGGAGTTCAAAACATGTGAAGTAGCTACTCTTACAGGGGGTGTACAGGCCCAGTCATGGGCTAAGGGAATGGGTAGATACAGGTCTGGCATGGGTTAAAGTAATGGGTATATAAAAGCTGAATTATGGGGTAACAGAGAGGTATATATAGGCTGAATCATGGGTTAACGGAGAGGCATATATAGGCTGAATAATGGGTTAAAGGAATGGGTATATATATATATAGGCCGGATCGAGCATTATGTGGAATGGGTAATTTTGCACAAGTCAAAAGAAAGACATATTAATAAAAGCTTCTGGCCTTAGTAGGAAGTAGATGAACATTTGCCTTGGTAGAAGGTAGAATAAATCTTCCACTAAGAGTAAATAAGGTCGTGTTTATCCTGTTCGGGGGAAACGGTAGGAGTTTCCTGTTGAGAAAAACAGTTTTGTCCTGACGAGCCCTACATGTGGAGTCCACACCTGGATATGTGGAGTCCACACCTGGTGTATGGAGGCCTGGTGAGTAACCTGGTGTATGGAGGCCAAGTAATTTCAAAGCTCCAGGAACTGAATACATTTTTTTTATTAGTAAACTAACTGTACCCGGGCACGCGTTGCTGTGGCTCAGCAACGCAATCCTCCCCCTCTGTCTCACAGTCCTCCCCATCAGTCCTCCCTCCCTCGTCCTCCCCACCACCCCCCACTTCCCTGTCCCCTTGTCCTCCCCCACCAATCTCCATTCCCCTGTCCCCTCGTTCCCACCATACCTAACTCACCTGTCAACCTCATCCTCCCCACCATTACCCTCTTCCTTGTCCCCTCGTCCTCCCCACCATCCCCCACTCCCTCGTTCGATGCATTCCCAAATGATCTGATGTTCCCATCAGAAATTGGGAACATTAAATGATCTGATGTTCCCATCACTGAAATATCAGAAACGTAAATAAAAAATGAAATGAAAATCAATGAAAAAATAAAGAAATAAACTATACTCATGAAATGAACAGTGTGGTAAACAATACAGCTCAATTCCATTGTAATGTCATACAAAGTAATTAAATCAAAATGAAAATAAATCGAAGTCTACGATAATTCAATTTATCAATGAAATCGGAAACATTGAAATGGAATCAAAACTTATTTAGTATACCGTAAGATGCTCTTACGTGCAACAGATGGCGCTGTTTAAAAAAAAATCATGTTTTTACCTGTCACAGGTTTGGCATCAATACTTATACTTACGAAATGAACGGTATGGTAAACAACACAACTCAATTCCAACACAATGTCACACAAAATAATTCAATAATAATTAAAATAAATCGAAATCTATGAAAATTAAATTTATCAATGCAATCAAAAACACTGAAATGAAATTAGTAACATATTTAGTATAGCGTGAGTGTTGCTATGACGTACAACAGATGGCGCTGTTTTTGAAAAACAACCATGTTATTACCTATCACAGGGGTGGCATCTATATAGCAGGTATATAAAAACACGCGAATATTCGAATGCAACGTCGTGTCAAAATTTCAAAGCAATCGGTAAAGAGGTTTCGAAGACTTCTCTCACATGAAAAACACATAAAATACACAGTTTGTTGTTTAAAAAGCATGTTTTTCCGTCACAGGCGTGACATCAATATAGCATGTGTATAAAACCCCGCTCAGATGCGAATGGAACATTTTGTGAAAATTTCAGAGCAATCGGTGAAGAATTTTCGGAGATTATAGCGATTTTGAACAAACAATTCCATTTTTATTTATATAGATTAGGTACATCTGCATTTATGCAGCTGCCCTAGTCTATGTGAAGGGGAGCACAGTGTGTCAAAAAGCTAGCTCCGTGATGCTAAAAAATCCCCATCACACAGAATGGTTAGTCATACAGAGGCATGTGATACGTAGTCTACACTGGCAGACTCCGGGTACATTATGAGGATATCATCAACACAAGAGTGAATAAGGCAGCAGTGATACTAAAAGTCTCCATCTCGCAGGATGGCTAGTCATACAGAGGCATGTGATAAGTAGTCTCCACTGGCAAATTTTGTGTGCAATATTAGGATATCTTCAAGAATACGAGAGTGAATAAAGTAATTGCAAAGCTCCAGGTACCTCATGCCAACGGGTCTGAAAGGTCTAATAACTGGGCATTCGGTGATGTAGTGTGGGAGATCATGCCGCAGTTCCTGCTCACAGAGTTTGCACCTGGAGTGCTCAGGATTGGGAGATCCGTCACCTGTAGCCACCTGCCACAGGTAACGGTAACCCAACCTGATCCTGGCAACCACTGTGTCGCACAGTCTGGTCGACGATTTGTGCTGTCCATAGATGTAGGTTAATATTTATACAAATCCTAAAGACTACGGACTTTGGGAGACACATTTCATTTCCACCGATTGATTGATGAAGATCAAGCCACCGCAAGAGGTGGCACGGGCATGAGTAGCCCGCATGTGGTAGATGTTTGGAGTAAATGTGATCTTGGTCGAGAAACATCTTGAAGTGTCTCCTCTCATTTCCACTGACCTCGTGAAAGGGGCTTATGAGGCTGGCACCCTCTTCAAAGGAAGTATGGAGGGGGGGGGGGGAGGGTTGACCCCGACGCTCTATGACACTCGTCACCCTTACTCCTGTATAAGGTTTAGTTAGGCTAGCCCCAAACATCTGGCCCCCCAGCCTCAGAGAGAGGGGCAGGCATACACTAGCGGGGTATCCGGCTGCATCCGGGTATCTCTCCCCCCCCCTCCCCCTTTCTCTACTGCCGCCTATTTCTGCCCTTTCTCATCTATTTTTCCCTATTCGACGTCTATTCATGTCTCCCTATTGCCAATTTTTCCCCCAGAGCACCCACTCTCACCCCTCTGCTCTCCCTCCTCCCCTCTTTCCTTAACTATCTTCAAACATCCCTGCCTGGGAGACCTGGGAGACCTGGGAGACCTGGGAGACCTGGGAGACCTGGGAGACCTGAGAGACCTGGGAGACCTGGGAGACCTGGGAGACCTGGGAGACCTGGGAGACCTGGGAGGCCTGGGAGACCTGGGAGGCCTGGGAGACCTGGGAGACCTGGGAGGCCTGGGAGACCTGGGAGACCTGGGAGACCTGGGAGACCTGGGAGGCCTGGGAGACCTGGGAGACCTGGGAGACCTGAGAGACTTTAGGAATTAGATTTAGTACCTGAGAGACTTTAGGAATCAGATTTAGTACCTGAGAGACACAAAGAAGGTGGAGGAACAATTTCCTCGGCCACGAACCATCCTGCTCTGACCCCAGGGATGGTCGGACCATCCGTCAATAGTGAGGCCTGAGAGGAGGCCGTCCGTCACCCGACCACAAGAGCCATGTACAGTGTCGGGACTTCCAATTTAGTGTCGTGTACTCATCTCTGGCCGAGTCGTCATAATTAAGCGGAACTTGTATCGGGATCCGCTTACATGGTCGGCTGTGTCACCTGGGAGATGTACGGTGTGGTCGTAAAGTGGCAGGTGTGGTCGTAAGGTGGCAGGTGTGGTCGTAAGGTGGCAGGTGTGGTCGTAAGGTGGCAAGTGTAGTCGTAAGGTGGCAGGTGTGGTCGTGAGGTGGCAGGTGTGGTCGTAAGGTGGCAGGTGTGGTCGTAAGGTGGCAGGTATGGTCGTAAGGTGGCAGGTGTGGTCGTAAGGTGGCGAGAGTGGTCGTAAGGTGGCAGGTGTGGTCGTAAGGTGGCAGGTGTGGTCGTAAGGGGCGGGTGTGGTCGTAAGGTGGCGGGTGTGGTCGTAAGGTGGCAGGTGTGGTCGTAAGGTGGCAGGTGTGGTCGTAAGGTGGCAGGTGTGGTCGTAAGGTGGCAGGTGTGGTCGTAAGGTGGCGGGTGTAGTCGTGAGGTGGCAGGTGTGGTCGTAAGGTGGCAGGTGTGGTCGTAAGGTGGCAGGTATGGTCGTAAGGTGGCAGGTGTGGTCGTAAGGTGGCAGGTGTGGTCGTAAGGTGGCGGGTGTGGTCGTAAGGTGGCAGGTGTGGTCGTAAGGTGGCAGGTGTGGTCGTAAGGTGGCAGGTGTGGTCGTAAGGTGGCGGGTGTAGTCGTAAGGTGGCAGGTGTGGTCGTAAGGTGGCAGGTGTGGTCGTAAGGTGGCAGTTGTGGTCGTAAGGTGGCAGGTGTGGTCGTAAGGTGGCAGGTGTGGTCGTAAGGTGGCAGGTGTGGTCGTAAGGTGGCGGGTGTAGTCGTAAGGTGGCAGGTGTGGTCGTAAGGTGGCAGGTGTGGTCGTAAGGTGGCGGGTGTGGTCGTAAGGTGGCGGGTGTAGTCGTAAGGTGGCAGGTGTGGTCGTAAGGTGGCAGGTGTGGTCGTAAGGTGGCGGGTGTGGTCGTAAGGTGGCAGGTGTGGTCGTAAGGTGGCAGGTGTGGTCGTAAGGTGGCAGGTGTGGTCGTAAGGTGGCGGGTGTGGTCGTAAGGTGGCAGGTGTGGTCGTAAGGTGGCAGGTGTGGTCGTAAGGTGGCAGGTGTGGTCGTAAGGTGGCAGGTGTGGTCGTAAGGTGGCAGGTGTGGTCGTAAGGTGGCAGGTGTGGTCGTAAGGTGGCAGGTGTGGTCGTAATGTGGCAGGTGTGGTCGTAAGGTGGCAGGTGTGGTCGTAAGGTGGCAGGTGTGGTCGTAAGGTGGCAGGTGTGGTCGTAAGGTGGCAGGTGTGGTCGTAAAGTGGCAGGTGTGGTCGTAAGGTGGCAGGTGTGGTCGTAAGGTGGCAGGTGTGGTCGTAAAGTGGCAGGTGTGGTCGTAAGGTGGCAGGTGTGGTCGTAAGGTGGCAGGTGTGGTCGTAAGGTGGCAGGTGTGGTCGTAAGGTGGCAGGTGTGGTCGTAAAGGAGGTGATGCCGCAAGCGGAGTGCCCAACCGCATGTCGGCCGCCGCCGCCACCACCACCACCACCACCACCACCACCACCACCACCACCACCACCACCAC